TGTGCAACCTGCTCCGTCACCACCTTGCCCAGAAGAGCCTCCCCACCATTTTCCTACCTGCATGGGGCTTGGCCTTCTTCTCCTTGTTCTGTTTTCCCCACATACAGCAAGAGTCAACATTCTAATTTCTTAGGCAGAGAACATGTTTCCAGTCCTTTCCCTGAGTCTAAGCTCCTGTCTGCACCTCTTAGGACACCAAAGCTTTAAAGTTGGTATTTATAAGAATTCACTCCATTAAAGTCACGTGTAACCAACCACTCTCCCCCTCCCCAGTTTTAGTTCAGAGACCAGGGGTGGGGGTTTTGTTTTTAACATTGATCAGGAAAAATTCCTAGGAGAGCAAGGCACTGTCTATTACTTGAATAACAGGATGACAAGGAAAACTGTACCAGTCAACACTATTTATTGAGTGCCCATATGTTCCAGGCACTGAGCTAGGCACAGAAGGGAAACAAAATCAGATACCATTCTGCTCTTGTGATGCTTACAGTGCTAGTGAGAAAGAGAAACATCAGTCAAATATTCTCAGAAACAAAATAAAAATAGTCGACCAACACCAGGAAGGTGGAGTGCAGGTTTCCACGAGCCTATGACTGGAGGGCTGTGAGCTAAAGGCCCAGCAACAGTTAAGGTGAGGAGAGGAGAATGAGCATCCCAGGCTGAGGGAACAGGCCATGCAGAGGACTGAAAGAAGGCTCACATGGCTGGGGCAGCAAAAATATGGCATAAGTTTAGGTTGGAAAGGTACGGCAAGGATGGCAAGACCATTAAAAAGTTTCAGGCAGAGGTAATTCGAGGCTCAGACTTGCATTTTGAGCAAAAGCACTTAGACTGCAGTATGGAGGATAGACTGGAACATTATCGAGAATTGAGAGGATCTGTCAAGTACAGGGAGCACCCATGGGAGACAAGCAATTGATGATTGTTCAGAGCAGTGTCTTAGCAATGTTGTGTGGGTGTTCATGTATTCTCCAAACTAAATGGACACACACACACACACACAGAGCTAAGATTATCAAACAGTACTAGCCGGTGCCCCAACCAACCCTCCTAGCTTCCCTTGCCCCTTTCAGAGCTCTCAACTCTTCATCTGGCAGTCCCTCGTCCCCACTCCCTGCTTTGTTCTGAAATATAATATGCTTAAAATACGATTTATTTTTCAGTCTTAGCAATTGTTTATTTCCTGCTAAAGAAGAAAAGCATTTTGTGTTCTTACCCCACATCTATCCACTTAAACTATTCTTATCCTACCAAGAGGGAACACTGACAGCATTACCAGCACTTCCTTTTTAGTCTTCCCGGGTAAGAAAAACATTGACTCATTCATTACCTGAAAAGTTCATCAATCAATAAGAAGCTTTCACCATAAAGTTACACCTTTGTGAGTACAAAAGTACATTCACTGCACATCTGTCATGGACCTATCTGAGGCAGTAGAATTTTTATCTTTTAAGTTACAACTACCTAAATTTTAAACCAGCATAAGAATATTCAAGGAAACCACATTATGTGCCAGTTGAATGACATAATAAAGTTATCTGCATTGGAGGCAAAAGTAAGCTTGGTAGGACTAATGTCTTGGCGAAGAAGTGTTAGAAAGGTCATGTCAGGCTGGGCTCGGTGGCTCAGCCTATAATCCCAGCGCTTTGGGAGGCTGAGGTGAGTGGATTGCCTGAGCCTGCGGGTTCGAGACCCACCTGGGCAACTTGGTGAGACCTCATCTCTACAATAAATCAAAAACTAGCCGGGTGTGGTAGCGCACATCTGTAGTTCCAGCTACTTGGAAGGCTAAGGCAGAAGGATCACCAGAGCCCGGCAGGTCAAGGTTGGTTGCAGTGGCCGGGAGTGGGCACTGCACTCCAGTCTGGGTGACAGAGTGAGACTCCAACTCAAATTAAAAAAAAAAAAGGTCATGTCACCTATGGATGGAGCCATGAGACAGGCCATTCCTGTGCTGCTAAAAGGAGTGAATGAGCACAAAGACAAGTGGGCGGTTCCTCCCTGCCTACGAGTATAAGTCAGATGTTTTGCCCTCAATCAATTCCAATGGGGGAATATTCAGAGACACCAAGGCTTATGCGTAATGTTCGTGATAGTATTATTTATAATGATGAAAAACAATCTCAATGCCCCCAATAGGAAAATGGTTAAATGATACTCCACCTACAGAATGAAATATTATAAAACTGTTAAATTCAGGCTTTCAGAGAACATTTAATACCATGGGGGAAATGCTCATATTAAACGAGAAAAAGCTGAGATCAGCCTATATGTAAAACTATACATGTATACATGTATATCATCTACATACAAACATACGTAGGCGCATATATAAAAGATCTGTACATACCCCAATTTTTTTAAGTGCATAGAAAACTTTTCTCCCCATGTGGTCTGCCAACCGCATACTTCAGAATCACCTGGGAGGAGGGGCTTATTAAAAACGCAGGTTCTTAGGTACCACTCAAACCTACTGAGCTAGGGACCTCTCTCCACCTTCACACCGAGTCATCCTGACTCACACCTCAGTCTGAACACACCGGATCAGAAATAGCAGCTCTCTCTGGGTGGTGGAGTCATGAGTAATTGCTTTATTTTCTTGAATCTTAAAGATCTCTACCAAGAATGCGCTGCATATATGATTCAAAGTTCTTTAAAAGCACATTAGTGAAGTGTATTAGGAAACAGCTGACTTAGGGTCTATTTCAACAAGTGGAAACAACTTTTGAGAACTGGGAGTACTATTTTTTTTTTTTTTTGAGTTGGAGTCTCACTCTGTCGCCCAGACTGGAGTGCAGTGGCCGCTCCCGGCCACCGCAGCCTCGGCCTGCTGGGCTCCGGCGATCCTTCCGCCTCAGCCTTCCAAGTAGCCGGAATTACAGGCATGAGCTACCACGCCCGGCTGATTTTTTGATTTATTGTAGAGATGAGGTCTCGCTGCCCAGGCGGGTCTTGAACCCGCGGGCTCAGGCAATACACTCACCTCAGCCTCCCAAAGGCGCGGGATTACAGGCTGAGCCACCGAGCCCGGCTTGGGAGTACATTTTTTTAACCTAAATTTAACACCACACACTATGACAATGTCTCTAAATACGTGCACTCTAAACCTCTCCAGGCTCTTGAGCTGTTACCAGACGACATTTGGCGAAACAAGACTGAGGGGGGGTCACTAGACTTGGCAGTACCCTGTACGACAGGACTCACCGACCCTTTAAACTATGTGCTCTGCTCCTTATAGGTGCGGTCTCATTTAGCCTTGCTTAGAAGCAGGATCATCACCTTTCCCGTTTTAGAGATGAACAAGCGGAAGAAGCTCAAAGCATAAGTCGCCTGCTCCAGCTCACAACGTGAGGCCACCCTAAAGTACAGAATGAGACTCTGAAACTAGGTCTTCCTGCACCAAAGACTGGCTTGTGATTATTCAAAGCAGTACTGGCAGGGTGCAGTGGCTCAGCCTGTAATCCCAGCACTTTGGGAGGCTGAGGCGAGAGGACTGCCTGAGCCTGCAGGTTCAAGACCAGCCTGGGCAACATGGTGAGACCTCATCTCTACAATAAATCACACACACACACACACACACAAAACCTAGCTGAACGTGGTGGTGTACATCTGTAGTTCCAGCTACTTGCAAGGCTGAGGCAGAAGGACTGCCTAAGTCCTGCAGGTGGAGGCTGCAGTGGCTGTAAGCGTGCCACTGCATTCCAGCCTAGGCAACAAGAGTGAGACTCCAACTCAAAAACAAAAACACAAAGCAGTACTGCTTTTAATATATTGATGGTCAGCAGACCACTTTCAGAGGAACACACTGCATCAAGGGTTCCTCAGACGGATTTGATTCGGGAGCTCCTCTGAATGGATCAGCACTCAAGACTCGCTTTCCCCGGAACACATGAGAAATGCTGCGGGGCAAGTGAGGCAGAGATACACCTTGGCAGATGGATGGGGGCTCAGAAGGAAGAACTATTCTAGAAAGAACATTTATCAAAACCGTACTCATAGCCGGGCGTGGTAGCGCGCGCCTACAGTTCCAGTTGCTTGGAAGGCTGAGGCGGAAGGATCGCCGGAGCCCAGTGGGTCAAGGCTGCGGTGGCCGGAGCAGCCACTGCACTCCAGTCTGGGTGACAGAGTGAGACTCCAACTCAAGAAAAAACAAACAAACAAAAAAAACTGTACTCAAAGAATTATTAACAGGGGCTGGGCACAGTGGCTCGTGACTATGATCCCAGCACTTTGGGAGACTGAGGCAGGAGGACTGCTTGAGCCCAGGAATTTGAGACCAGCCTAGGCAACATAGCAAGACTCCAAAAAACTACAGGCATGGTGGCATGCGCCTGTTGTTTCAGCTACTTAAGAGGCTGAGGCAGGAGGACTGCATGAGCCTAGAAGTTTGAGGCTTTGATGAGCTGCAATTGTGCTACTGCACTCCAGCCTGGACAACAGAATGAGACCCTAAATTTAACAAAAAATTATTTATTAATAGGGACGTGTAAATTAAACCTCAATTTAATGGATACCATTTTTTACCTTCAGATTCATACATTTCAACTGATGGCTCATTTCATTCAAATGATATTTGAATACCATTCCAACATATTCATTCCAATTTCAACAATATTTACTCTTTAGGATTTGTTGTAAGATTTGATTTACCTAGTAATTCAACCTATAATGGCACTAATTTTGGTAAAGTATATCCACATTGGGAGTATAAGTTTTCATTTGCTGTGTAGCTCAACGGACCTGCAATTTGCATTCTGGGGTGAGATGGTTATTGTATTAGGACTGACCTAAACTTTGCAAGTCATCTAATATCCTTAACTTCTACTGAATAAATACCAGTAGAAGTACCACCCCTATCCCCCATCCTGTTACTGTGAGAAGAAAACATCTCCTCAACGTCAAAGCTTTCTATAGGGGGGCAGCCTCACCCCAGCTGAGAACCATGGGTTAAGAGCAAACCAGAAAGTTCAATAAAATAAACACCCAGCCAAACCCTGTACTCAGTATTCCATCACAGTTATAGTCATGTTATCGTCAATCCTGCATGTCCAGTGTCTCATTACATTTCTCCCTACTTGGTTACTAATACAAACAGATTCAACACAAACTGTCAAAAAACAATTTTTAGCCAAGAGGGTCAAGCCCTGTGTATTTTCCCAAAAGCAGCAATAAAGTTGGGCAGAAGCTAAGCCCAGGACTGCATAGAATATTGGCTTTTAGCTGTGGCAACAGCACAAAATAAGAAGCATACCTGAACATATTGTCAGATTTGGGCTTTAAGAAGGTTGCTGGGGGGTTTTTTCTTTAAAAAATGATTTATTATCAAAAAACTTGCTCCCTCTGACTATTGAGTCAGTTCAGCAATGCAGCTCCATTCTTTTTAGGATTATTAGAGCCCAGATAATTTCAGACTAGAAACAAAAAATAAAAAACAGGACTATAGGGTCAGTAACATATTCACAGATATGTCAATATGCATTCAGGAACACTGGTTTCATTTCTTGATCGGAATGCCTATCACCATAAAATCTTCTGCTAGAGTCACTTCTTGGAGATCCAGCACTGACTCAGCTTGCTTTTTTAGTTCTGCAATGCCATCTGTTTCTCCTTCTCTGGCCAAGGCCACTGGTTTGTACCTCTGACTGAAGTGAGTCAGAACCAGCTTCTTTGCATGGCACAACTTTGCAAATGTCGCCGCCATCTGTGGTGTGCTATGGCCATGCTCCTTTGCTTTGTCCATCTGGGCGTCATCCAGGGTCGCTTCATGGATCAACAGGTCTGCTTCAAAGCATAGCTTCACTCCTCCATCACCCACAACCCCAGAACAGTCACCCAATATGCAGATTTTTCTTCCAACAATAGGTTTTTTTAAGACATCTTGGGGATAAATTGTAACCCCATTTTCCAGAACAACAGAAATTCCATTTTTCAGCTTCCCATAGGCAGGACCTGGCGGAACACCTAATGATGAAGGCAGATAACATTGTATCACAGGAATGGAATGTATCATTTTTTAAGAGTCTATTTTAACAGCATTGCAAAAAGCTAATGGAAAAGACATCCAATTCTTTTCATAATTGTTATAAACGTTTTACCATTTGTGGAAAACTGGAATATTTATACATTTTTAAAATTTCAGTATAGATTGATATTAACAATGCAGCACTTAAAACATTTTCCATGTACATGTGTCAGTAAGTTTTAAGTTCATAAGTCCCACTGAGACCTTATTACAGTCATTTTAACACCCTTGATTCTCTGCTGTACATGGAAATAACAGATTTTGAAAGTGCTTTATTTAATAAGCTCACCTTTGGATGAAATTAGAGCATACATTTAAGTGAAAATATAATCAAAGCCCAGTCAAGACAGGAACTTACAAAGTGACTAACTTATTGAAAAAAAAATTGTTAAAAGATTGTCTGGATCACAAGATCAAAGAACAACTCAGGCAATCATATATGATCAGTCTTCCTGGAATATAGGGGCAGTCACACATTAATCAAACTGGGCTTAAATCTCATATTAGTCTAGACTAACACCTGATCATCACTCTGGATCATGCTCATACACAAGGATAATGTGATCACCAATTCCACAAGATCATATTTAAAGTTTCCAAATATAATATTTCCATAGGATTTTATATAATAGAAGTAACCCTGGCTTGAGTCACCTTTCCTTATTATCTAGCCTTTTTAGTTGAGGAAGAGACTGTATAAATTGTTTTAAAAATACAGAAAATACCACCATGCTCTGTACAGGCACTGCCACACGATGCCAAGGAAGCTGGCAGTAATGGAGGCATAGTGTATCTGGACTGTGCCCCACGAGAGGTGCTGAAGACCTCCTCCTGTGTGCTAGCTTAGCATGGAAGAGGTGTAAGGCCTCACAGGGCCCCGAGCCCCACTCAGAATGCTTGCTTTCAACTGCAGTGACCCCGGCATGTCAAGCTTGCTGAGTCACGGTATTCTGAACACCAAGCTGATTTAACCAAGGCTGAGAGAGTAGGCAGACTAGATGGAGAAGGAAACCTTGAGGGCAGTTGGTTCCCGTTGCATGGTTAGGCACCATGGCAAAAATTCTCAGGCCAAAGATGACACTGAAAACATTTTCAAAAGGAAGACATGGAAAAGCAAAGCCTGTACCTGAAACGAACCCCGCTACCACCCAAACCATTTTGCCAACCAAGATGGTGTAAGCAGAAGACAGACTATGAACGTACATCCAGGGACCTGAAGAGAGAAGGGTTCAAATGTACACTTCTCTTTTGGCTCCATGCATTTCCCTTAATAAGTAAACTTTGGGCAAAGTAGAGAAAACGTCAGTTTCAGACGCGGGATGCAGGGATGGAAGTTTACCACAACACTTCTAACAGGGGCAGTCAGCAACAGCCTTATTGGTCGGAAGGAAAAAAATATACTTACCGAGGTCTTTTAGTCTCTGTGCATTGAGTTTACCTGGGCGTTTCTTTTCTATGACTGAAAACCCAAATGAGGGAATTCTGTGAAAAAGGCGAAAGGCTTTGACAACAAACTGTTCATCATCAACCAGAAGGTATGAGCTTTCTTCTGAGTCTAATAGGATAGTTCTTCCTTGCCCCTCCTTGGGTGGGCTTTCTGCTCTGTTGTTCAAAAGGGCAAACTCTTGTGATTCTTCTGCAGGACACTGGTCTGTGGTGGGCACCAGTTCATGGACCACGTAAGGGAAGACCAATTCCGTGTGAGAGAGCGCCATGGTTCGCCAGATGAAGTCCCGGAGCCCTACCGGGCCGTAGATTTCAAGAGGCTGTCTGGAGACCATGGAACCACTCTGCAGACTGATGGTGCAGAGGAGGCCAGGAAGACCAAATAAATGGTCTCCATGAAGATGTGTGATGAAGATCTTGGTAATTCTCCCTTTGGATTGAGACAGAGAGATACATGTGGAACTTTTCGGAAATAAAAACCCTTACAGCACTACTGGAAACAAAACTAACAGTTTACAGAAAAAGTAGTAAACTGAATTTAGAAGTTCTACTTACTGCCATAAGCTCATTGTTTACATTTTGCTACATGATTCCAGAAGCAAGTCAGACAGACTTTATTTCACTAGATGGCTCTAATGAAATATAAATTTCTCATAAAACATCTTCCAATGACATAGTTTTACAGAATATTTTCCTACAAATTCTCATTTTTTAAAAAAAAGTGAAATATACAAAATAATTCACTTAACTAAATGGTCCTCAACTGTCAAAAGCATCCAGCAGCTACACTGCCCCCTACTGCTCCCTCTGAGAATAGCAAACATGTACTTCCAGCAAAACATGTTTCACTAGTTCCAACTGACCGGGCCAGTGCCTGAACCCCAAAGTGCCTTCCAAGGATTCCCAACACCGGACAGGGATTAAGCAATCAAGTCAGAGCCTGTTTGTCTGGGTGAGGTGGAAGGGGTCGGAGAACAAGGAAGGAGGGTGAAGAAGGGAGAGAAAAGGGAGGGGGGAGAGGAGCAAGGTGAGGGACTGAGAGGGAGAAGGTGGGCAATAAAGGCCAGAATGCAGACCCGAGGGAAGCATCCCTATGGCATGACGTGAGACTGCCGAGGCCCATCTCTTCCTCTGAGTCTGAACTAACACAACAGCTTTTCCAGTGCACACTGGTTTAGGCTATAACTTGATTTAGCCAATGGCAAGCTGGATTTATTGCTGGTATGTGGCAGGATGCCACACCAGCATTTTCTAAGAGGCACCCACACTGCATTTCCAAAGTGACAATCACAACTAACACATTTCCAGTATAACAGAGGCTTTTGGTCCTTTACTCAGGGCCCAACTGTTTTAAACATTTGGTACCATAAAAGTATAGCAACAGTTTATTGAGACCACAAAAGAACAGGAAAAATTTATTGTAATGTGACTTGTCCTGTGCCATCAAGCGCTCTCCAAGCAAGCCTTCTGAGAATTACTATGCCAAGCTCAGCACCCAGCAGCACAGAACAAGAGACTGAGCAGAGGCTGATTTGGATCTTGAGAATCCCCTGGAGGCACTCTTGACGTTTTCCCAGTATGTTCCTTATTCCTGCTTTTTGGCTTTTAGAATCCTTTCATTTCCCGCTTCTCTCTGTTCAGGCTGTCAAGCACCTCCCAGTGTGACCTGAGGACTCGGCTCACAAAAGAACTCCAGCAGTCACTGAGTCCAGATCCCCCACTGTCCTCAAAACTGCCAACATCATACTCTCAGGGCCCTCTCCCTAACTACCCCAAAACAAAGTCAATCTGAACAACAAAACCACCTAGGAACCCAAAGCAAGCAAGTCAAATTAACTGAAAAATTACTTCCCACAGTTATCAGTTTCAAGAAGACACACATTCCATTTTTAAAGAAACTACTTTCTTGTTTTTTGAGTCAATTTTACTCTGTCACCCAGACCAGAGTATAGTGACATCATCACAGCTCACCACAGTCTTGAATTCCTGGGCTGAAGGGATCCTCCCACCTCAGCTTCACAAAGTTTTGGGATTACAGGCATGAGCCACAATGTCGGGGCCTCAAAAAACCAGATTTCGGAGAAAGGAGGCATAGCGAACAATTATCAAAGGTATGAGGAAGCTAACAAATGAAGAGGGAAAACTGCATGAGTTCCCCTTCACTTGGGAACAAGGAAGTTATGGGGGGAATGATACACAGAGCAGTGGACTATTGAGCATCCTCTAAAAACGGCGATGCAGGTATATTTGCCACCATAGGAAAAGTTCTGCAACACATTGTTCGTATATGTTGCTCATCAGCTTAAACAAAGCAGGTTATGCTAAGCGCGGTGTGATCCTATCTATGCAAAATGGCACACACACACACCCCACCCATATGATCACCATATATATATATCTACAGAAAATTTACCTATGAGGTATAGTTTTACCTTCTACAATGAGTATATCTACTTTTTTTTTTTTGAGTTTGTGTCTCACTCTGTTGCCCAGGCTGCAGTGCAGTGGCACACTCACGGCCACCGCAGCCTTGACCTTCTGGGCTCTGGCGATCCTTCTGCCTCAGCCTTCCAAGTAGCCAGAACTACAGGCATGTGCCACCACACCCAGCTAACCTTTTTATAATCATTTCAAATATCCTGCTTTTGTAACTTTTTGTTGTTTTTTAAACAGAGACAGGGTCTTGCTCTATCGCCTAGACTGGAATGCAGTGGCACTATCACATCTCACTGCAGCCCTGACCTCCTGGGCTCAAGCAATTCTCCCAACTTAGCCTCCTGAGTAGATGCGACTACAGGTGCACCACCAGGCCTGGCTAATTTTTTGTAGAGATGTTACATAATATATTGTAGAGACGGGATCTTGTTATGTTTCCCTAACTCTGGCTTCCTAAATCTTTTGGACTGTGGCCTCAAGTGATCCTCCTGTGTTGGCCTTGCAAGGTACTAGGTTACAGGCATGAGCCAAAGTGCCCAGCCTATAACACTTTTAATAATCATTTCTAGGGGAATTAAGAAGGCTTGAGCCTGTGCTTTAAAATTAGGAAAGAAATGGATGGTGGCACATGCCTGTAATCCCAGCTGCTGGGGAGGCTAAGGTGGGAGGATCACTTGCACTCAGGAATTTAAGACCAGCCAGGGCAACAAAGCAAGACCCAAGCAAGCAGGCAAGGAAAGAAAGCACAGGAAAGCAGAGGAAGGAAAGGAGGGAGAGAGGGAGGGAGAGAGGGAGGTTGCAAACCTGCACTTGTTAGTCAGATGCTTGCATGTTAGGATCAGGACCATGGAAGCGTAAAGAAGTATGTTTAGACAAAGAGAAAATCCTCATAAAACATATTACCCCAGACAGTGGTACAAGCTGAAAGGGTTTCAATAAATCAAATAATGATAGGCCCATAATGAGTTAATGAGAGAAACCAGGATGTACTGAGGATGCAGCAATTCAGTTTCAGACTGAGGACATCTGAAGCACAAGAGAGTCATAGACACCACTCTGGGATTCCCATCCCACCTTCCTCTCTGAGGCCGGGGATTTTTTTTCCCCTAAGCCCACAGAAATGTAGTAAACTCAAGGTTCCCTTGCACATTTCTGCTTTTTTCCCGGCTTAGCTTTACCAACTGTTTATTCAAAACATGCATGAAGGACCTGTAAAATACGAGACACTGGAGAAGCGGACTTGGGCAGACAGACCTAAGGTGGCGCTGATGGCCCCTGCCTCCTGGCGGTCATGGCCTACAATCCCCTCCTTTGGGCTGTGGTAGGATTTGTGACTTGGCACGGTGATGCAACGTGATTATATTATTATATACATATACATGAGGGGCCCCCCCAAAAAACAATTATTTTTTAGAGGGTGGGCCCCTACAACAGGCTCCACCTGTGACGTAAGTGTTCTGGGAACCCGACAGCAGCGTATCAGCCGGTGTTGCTGTGAGAGGCTGCGCTTGGCTTCAGTGAACTTTTTTTTTTTAGTTGGAGTCTCACTCCATCACCCACGCTGGAGTGCAGTGGCATGCTCACAGCCACCACAACTTCAACCTGCTGGGCTCAGGTGATCCTGCTGCCTCGGCCTCCCAAGTAGTTGGGACTTATAATTTACTTATTGCGGAGGCGAGGTCTTGCCAAACTGCCAGGGCACATCTCCAACCCCTGGGCTCAGGCAGTCCTCTCACCTCTGCCTCCCAAAGTGCCAGGATTACAAGCATGAGCCACCATGCCCAGTCAGGCTTCAGTAAATTCTTTTTGGAGAGTCTTTCAACGTGTTTGCCCGTTTAATAGTGGATGACTTACAAGGGCACCTGTCCACACCACGGTGAGTGCCCAGCAGTTTCTGACCCAAAACAGCCTGACCCCCATGCCCCATCCTGTTCGCCCGACCTCTTGTTTCCCCAGATGGAAACAGTCCTCAGAGGGAGACGTCTCGCTGATGTTGAAGAGGTGGAACAAAAAGCAGTAGAAGCACTAAAAGGCATACACATTGGCGAGTTCAAAAACTGTTTTGAGCAGTGGAAGAAGTGTCTCAATCGGTGTACTGCATCAGAGAGTACCTTGGAGGTGACTGAAGTCTAAAAATGCAAGAATACGCAAATTTAAACAAATAAATTCCGGGGTTTTCGGTCACGTCTTGTAAGGCTTATCTCACTAGCAGACTTCCTAGAGAGTCTCTTTCTCACTCATGGCTGTGAGGAAGCAAGTTCTCACAAAGCAGAAACACACATAGCAAAGAACCACGGGAGGCCGTAAGGAGCTCAGGACAGATGATCCTCACGCCCTAAGGTTCTGCCAACAGCCTGAGTGTGCTGAGAAGCAGAGTCCTCCCTGCTGAGCCTTTGATGAGAGCATAAGCCCAATCAACACCTGGCCTAGTGATTACCTGAAAGCGAGATACCAGCTAAGCCAGGCCTCAATTCCCTAACCCACAGAAACTGAGAAGATAAATGCAAATAAGTTACTAAATCTATAGTCTGTCAGGAAACACTAGACAACTGACACAGGTATTAAATAAAAGTAAAGACTTGCCCTCACACCCACCCTCTGGTACTCACACCTACGGTTTCTTGTTTCCATTTTAATCCACCCTGCCACCTCAACCCCGACTCTCTAAAGTGCTCAATACATAGCCTGGCATCTAGCCCCTGCTACCTTGAGGGCTCTCATGAAAGGAATCCCTATGTGATCCCAGAAGAGTAAAGCACTTCCCTCAGGGGTTCAACCCAAGATAGTAAATACATAGGCTTCAATGGGGTATACCTCCAGGCCATGTGCTCCAGGGCTTCTTCCTCCAGCAACCCTTTTCTAGACTTCCCTCTAGGTCCAGTGCATCACCATCAGTGACCCGTAGTGACTTCACTTCCTCACACACTAGACACTCAGTCAGCCACCACTTGCCTCTGGCTGTACGAGTCCTTCTTAAACGGACCCTCTCATCTCCACCCCATCTCTACATCCCGCTTCAACTCCTCATACTCTTATTCTCACCCTCAAATAAGTTGCAGCTGCCTTGGAACTGGTCTCTCTGGTGCTATTCTCTGCCTCCCAATCCATGTGCCATTAGAAAACTCTGTCCTGAAACACAAATCAGGTCACACCATTCCCCTACTTAAAAGCATTCAATGGTTCCTTATTGCCAGTTCAATAATAAGGTCCAAATATCTTACTATGCAACAGAGAACTTCACAGTCAGCCTCACTTACCTTTTCAGCATTCTTAGTCCCATCGACACCAGCCAAGTATTCAATGTTCCCCAAACACGCCATTTCTTTCCTGGAAACTTCCTTATTGTTGCTCACTTTGTTGTCTGTTCCTTAACTACCTACCCCTACTTCTCTCCCAGAAAGACTTTTATTTATCTCTTGGAGCCTAGCTTAACTGCTACCACCTCTGGAATGCCTTCTCTTAATGTGTAGGCACAGTTAGTGCCGCACCTTTGTGCTCCAAAAGTACAAGAAAATATCTCCATTATTCTACTTATCATACAACATGACTGATGACTGTCTCTATGTCAGTTTCCATCACCAGACCAAGAGATCCTTGGACACTAGAATTAGCTTTCCTTTGGTCATCAAGTGCCATACACTGTGATGAGTTGTAGGAAGAATGACTTCAATAACTAAGATCTAATAAGTGAGAAGCACTGTACTAAGTTGTTAAATATCTTATCCGTTCACTAACTGACTAGATATCTACCAGGCATCTATTAGGTGTATAAGTGATCACTGAGCTTACTTTCCAGCACAGGGAGATACAGAACACAGAAACAAACTACTTAAATAATGTAATTCCAGATACTGATGATGCTAAGAAGTCAATAAAAATAGGACAAAGTAAAAGAATCACTAGAGTGAGAAAGGAACCCAGAAAGTTCAAGAAAACCCTCTGAGGAGATGGCACTTGAGCGAAGATTGAACAAGAAGGAAGCAACCACAGAGAGAAGAAACTGTTATATAATTCTCCCAGTGCCTTATTAATCCCATTTTCAAGATAAGGAAAATCAAGTTGTAAGTTTACTACTCTGCTAAGGCCACAAGCCCTCCACAAGGTTGAGACTGGAACCCCGTCTGCTGACTCTACCCTGAGGTTTTTCACTGTGGGACTGTTCTGTCTTCCAGGTGCAGGCCCCTGCTCACTCCAGACCCGCTGGCCGGCTCAGGGAATTCCTCTTCTTCCTTCAGCAACCAAAGGTCCACTCTCGGAGATGTTTACCCTAACCGTCCCAAGTGGAAAAGAGCACCTCCCCCTTGCAAACATCTACTGTCCTTTGCATCCTCTCATGACAACTGTCTCCTGGTGGAAATAAGTATGTACACCGATCCCTTGCTAAGGGCAGTGTCCACCTGATACGCCCGATGTATCTTACTCCATGTGCCAACCCTCCAACCCTCCATAAATCTTTGCTCTCAACATTTACAGGGAAAAACATTCACAGGATGAATGAAAAGCGAATAAGCAAATTAAGTTTGCAGGTATAACCGGATGCCTGAGGGTTGTTTCTGAACAAAAGGACTAAGGCAAACCAAGAATATGAAGCGGAACAAAAGAGACTCTTAATGAGATAGCTGAAGGCACACTAACCTGCTTTAAGCTGGCTTTTCATAAGCTGTGTCTGTGTTCCCTCCCCACAGTCAAAGAGCCAGCACTCGCCCTCACACCGAAGGACCATGGCAGAAGCACCCCGGGTTGGAGATGGGTATGCTGCACCTGTCCCCAGAAATGTCACGTCCATAGACATCTTCTACCCTGCAACAAAAAGATCACCTGGGGATTATTTCATATCACTGCACCAAAAACACGTTCCTGTGAGATTTATAGTTATTTATATTTCTGGTTATTTAGAACGTCTGGATTCCTTTACTCTAATGGTTTTCTACACAAATTCACCAAAAGATTTTAATGACTCTTAATCGACTAAAACTACAAGTTACCAAACTCTGTACAACTGCTGATACACACAAATAAAAACAATCAAGCACAGTCAATTACAGTTAAATTCCAACTATATGATGTTCTCACAAACGCAAAACTATGGATAGTAAAAAGATTGGTGTTTGCCAGTGATATGGGTGGAGGAAGGGAAGAATAAATATGTGGTACATTGCTAAGCACTTCTGACATCTCTTATAGGCTGCTGCGATGGAAGATGTATGTCAAATAGAATGGATGAGAATGAACTGAAACTTATACATAATGAATTATAATTATCCACATTGACAGCAGGGAGAAAAACAAACAAATAACTTTAAGAAAAACTACCACAGCAATTACGACATAGAGCGGGATATAAGATAAATACACACACATTTCAATAGCTTTTCTTAGCCCTCACAATAACCAGATAAAAATAGAAATGGGGAAAAGAATTTCATTCACAAGAGCAAAAGATATACATGTCACCAGAAATAAAGTTAGCAGGAAAGGATCAGCACCTAAAAGATTCAAACAAACAGAGATACACATTGTGTTCCTTGACAGGAAGACGTGACATCACAGAAATGTTCATCTTTCCAAAATTAATATAGATATATTTGATACAAATTCTATCAGATGTCTAGTGGGACTTACCTTGGAACAAAATCAATTCAAAGATCACATAGAAGAAAAAATAAATGTCTGAGAAGGCACAAGAAAATTACAAAAAAGAGTAGTGACCTGCCTTTCTAGATATTAGCGTTTACTACATTAATCTGATGTAGTTAAAACAACAAAAGAAAAGGTGACAAGAAAAGGAAAGCCCAGAAATAACCTAAGTATGTATGGGATACAACACAGTATATAACACAGGTGTAATAAAAGGTGGTTTATTTAATGAACAGCATGGACATAATTGGCTGTTCTTACAGAAAAAGCAAAGCAAGATGTCCACTTTGCGTTATGTATAAAGATATATTCTGCATGAATTAGAAATTTAAATGTAAAGAGTCTAATAGAACATGTTAAAAAATATTAGGAGACATGTATACATTTGACTTTGGGGATGGGAAAGTCATGAAACCCAGAAATGTAAAAAACAGACATTTTCACTGTACAAATACTTTTATGTATCAAAAGACTTATAAAGTCCATGGACAGAAAAATCACCCGAAGAAAATTGTTTGTACCCCTTATGACAAAGGATTAATGCCCAAAGAAAAAGTTTATGGAAGTGCATTCAAAAAACAAAAATACTGATGCAACAGAACAACAGGCAAAGGATAATATGTATTGGGGATCACAGAAGAAATCCAAACAGCCTATAAGCATAAAAAGTTCCCAGACAACTATTGCGTATTCATACAAATTAAAAATAAACGAAAGAAAAGGTGATCGCCTCCAGGTAGTTAGTGGAATGCAAATTTTTAAAAAAGAGAGAGAGAGCCTATAATCCCGCACTTTGGGAGGCTTACGTGAGTGGACTGCCTGAGCCCGCAGGTTTGAGATCCACCTGGGCAACTTGGCGAGACCTCATCTCTACAAAAAATCAAAAAATCAGCTGGGCATGGTAGCGCGTGCCTGTAATTCCGACTACTCGGAAGGCTGAGGTGGAAGGATTGCCGGAGCCCAGCAGGTCGAGGTTGCAGTGGCCGGGAACGGCCACTGCACTCCAGTCTGGGCGACAGAGTGAGACTCCAACTCAAAAACAAACAAACAAACAAAGTCCTTTTATAAAATAAAAATTAAGAAAGCCAAGTCTCTCCTCTGCGCACATCTTGCAGGCTTCAGTCCCACAGAAAACCTGTGGTCCAGAGTTAGCGGGAGGAGAAAGAACTCCTGGTCCTCCTCTCCCCGAGACCATGGGGTTCCCTTGCCTTCTGAGGCCGCATCTCCGTCCCTTGACTTCTATTTTCCTGACTCTGGCCTTGTCAGCAAACGGGATTTCTGGGTTGTTGCTTTTGCTTCATATTTGGCTGAAGTATATCCTGACCCAGATTAGTCCACTTAGTTTGAAAGGAAACTCCAGATCCCTCTCCTGTCCCTGTCTCTGAGTGTCAAGGCGTGCAAAGAATAAATAACCTCTCTTCATGCCAACGATGACAATGCACTGGATATCCATAAGAGGGCCTCCAGGGTGTAGAGGGAACACATACCAAGTACCTTGGATCCTACCGGGGGAACTTTCTATCTGAGTAAGTCAGGATACTTTTGGTTGCAGGTAACAAAAAACCAACTCAAACTAGCTTAAAACAAAACAGAAAAAGAATATGTATTAGGCCCAAGTAAGTAGGATGTTCAAGCCATGGTGGTTTCAGGTACAGGTGGATTCAGGTTCAGTTCATGTCATCAGGAATCTCTTTTCCCTGTCTCATTTGAGACATTGCTTCCCTAGTATCTTAGCAAAGATGTCCACAGATTTATCCTTCATGGAGACAAGGATTCCAAAGAAAGAAGCATGTCTCTTTTCCCAGAGTTATAGCAAAGTGCTATGGAAAAGCCTTGAGTGGTCTGGCCTGGGTCTTCTACCAATTTCGAAACCTATCAATGCCAGGATGGTAGGGGACTGAGTCATATGTCCACCTCTGGGATTGGGCATTGGGGAGGGGGCAGTTAACCCCATCGAAGCCACTGAGAATAAGAAGACTTGGGTTCCTTGGAAACGTTCCAGGAAGAAAAAAAGTCAGCACATGAAATATGTATTTACTACTGCACTAGGCAGACTTACAGAAAATGCTCAGCGATGCTGGCATATAAAATGTGCTTGAATGACAATTTGATTAAAAAGGGAGCAGTGCTGTTCCCAAAATTAGAAAAGATGTCAAGTGGAAGAGAAAGTGGAACCGAAAAAGGATGAAACTCGAAATTACGTGTAAAAGTTATCAGAGAGAGGCCACGCGGTGGCTCAGCCTGTCATCCCAGCACTTGGGGAGGCCAAGGCGAGAGGATTGCCTGAGCCCAGGAAATCGAGACCAGCCTGGGCAACTTGGTGAGACCTCGTCTCTACAATAAATCACAAAAATTAGTCGGGCATGGTGGCGTGCGTCTGTGGTTCCAGCTGAGGCGGAAGGATCGCCGAAGCCCAGCAGGTTGAGGCTGCAGTGGCTGTGAGCATGCCAGGTGAGAGAGTGAGACTCCCATTCAAAAAAAAAGTTTTAAGAGGGCAGATTTCAGGCCAGTGCAAGGAAAGCCCTTCTAGAACAGAACAACCAAAAGAGTTGCGTCGTGAAGTGATGATCTCCTCTTTCCTAGACAAGCCCTAGTAGGGATGAGCAGCCAACCCCCAGCAACGTGGAAAAGAGGGGCTCCAAGCCGGGTGGGTTGGGGACAAGACTGATCCCAAGACCCCTTCCAGTCTCAACATCTGGTGACTCCCACACAACTTGTTTCTAAGTCAGAAAGTCCTGAGGCAACAAAGAGAGTGCAGAGCAGAGAAGATCACCTCCGGCAGCATTGAGGGCTGTTTGTTTTGAAGTTAACATTTCCTTTGTCTTTACTGTGGGCCTGGCCCTGGCTAAGTATTTGCATCACTTGTCCCATTTAAACCTCACAGCCTGTCATCCCGTGCCTTTGGGAGGCTGAGGTGAGTGGATCACCCGAGACCGCGGGTTCGAGACCCGCCTGGGCAGCGAGACCTCATCGCTACAATAAATCAAAAAATCAGCCGGGCGTGGTAGTGCATGCCTGTAATTCCGGCTACTCAGAAGGCTGAGGCGGAAGGACCGCCGGAGCCCAGCAGGTCGAGGCTGTGGTGGCCACGTGCACTCCAGGCTGGGCGACAGAGTGAGACTCCAACTCAAAAAAAAAAAAAAAAAAAACCTCACAGCAACTCTTGGGATAAGTTTTGGGGACCCCACTTAATGAGCGAGAAAACTGGGGTGCAGAGAGATTGAGAACCTCGCCCAGCGTGATGCAGTAAATAGCAGGTCTGTGACTTGAATGCAGGCCCGCTGCCGCTGATGTCCCCGGTATTCACCCCTTTGCTCTTGGGACCAGGCAGGCCTGCTTCTTTGCAAAGAACATCCTCACGCATGTCCCCCGCTCACCTACCCCTCCGGCCCGATCAGAATCAAGGTCGACTTGATCCAGATGGCGGCAGGCAGGTCTAATGAGATGTGAAGGGTATTCCTCACGGGAGCCAAGAGTGGCTGGGAGAGAGTCCCAGATTCTCTTCCCCTGACGAGAGATGTCACGAGCAAATGCTGTGGCCATGCATTAAAAGCAACAGCCAAGTCAGCATTATCATGGAGCCCTTTCCAAGTCTAGTCCATCCGACTGCTTAAGGGGGAAGGACTTCACACCCAGGGGGCGTGGCATGGGCACCCCCTGCCCTCAGCCCCCCACGTATACAGACAGACCCCAAATATGCTGGCCCCATCCCCCGCAAGCTGACATTATTCACAGGCCCGTGTTTTACAGGTACCACTTACCTTTCTCTCGCAGACGGGTGGAAAGTATCGGCGAAGACACTGGAACTTGCTTAGGAATTTGTATTTCCCTTTTGTAAGTGAAGGCAACCCAGCACTTTGAGAGGCCAAGGTGAGTGGATTGCCTGAGCCCGCAGGTTCGAGACCAGCTGGGGCAACTTGGCGAGACCTCGTCTCTACAACAAATAAAAAATTAATCGGGCGTGGTAGCATGCGCCTGTAGTTCTGGCTCCTTGGAAGACTGAGGTGGAAGGATCGCCGAGTCCAGCAGGTCCACGCTGGGGTGGCCGTGAGCGTGCCACTGCACTCCAGCCTGAGCAACAGAGTGAGACTCCAATTCCAAAAAAAAGAAGAAAGCAAGATCCTTTTGTAGTCCATAAGCATTATGAGGTATGAGGTA